GCTCAGCACAGTATTCTTTAAAACTGGGGGAAACAGGAAACTAAATGACCAATGATAATGGAATGAGTAGGTGAATTATGCCTCATTCATAATATGAAATACCATGTAAGATGAAAAAGTAGCTATTAATATATTTTAAAAACCATCTCCCAAAAAAAATGCTGTTAAGTGAAAAAATCAAGTCACAGAATAGATCGTATTATTCCTCAAAAATCCTAGCTTCTTTGAAGAATTTACCCTCAGACTATAATACTCATGACCCCTGTCACTCTCCCTTATTCACAGAAAAACTCAGTACCAAGTTCTCTCCAACTACTCTAGTGATCATTCCTGAAGATTTCAGTATCACTGTACTCTCACCTCCAGTGTTCCTTCACCTCCTTAAATAAATCTTTCTCTCCATCCTATTTTAGCTATCTACTCCCAGAGTCATACCCTAAATCTTGTGATGTCCAATAACTAAAACACCTCCCAAGGCTCACATTTAAGCCTTACATTTAGACCATCATTTCCTATTTCCTAGCTTCCCAGCTTTATCTGTACACTAGCGATCCTACTTTCACAATTCTTTTTCACCATCAAAGCTTCCAGTCCATTCACCCTACCACTCTTTCACTGTCCACCACGTCCCTCATGTCCTCGATTTCCTCCTTAAACAACCGAGATCCATGATCCAAAACTATAATAACTCCCTTGTATATACCCTCAAGTTCACTGCCTCCTTCCCTCTGCCATACTGCTGGCAAAACCCAAACGCTGGTTAAACCCAACACATTGCTTACTCCAAATGTGTCCTAACTAGCCTTATTTCCTGTCCATTGTTGCCCCATGAGGCAGAGACTGCTAGTTGCTACTCCAATACACATTTGCTGCTCCCTCCCTAAGAAAACCCTGATTTTACTCAGGAAGTTAATATACCTAGCCAAAATACTATGCTTTCGAGCCTCCCTAGTAGCTGTGACACAGGACTACAAAATATAGGTGAAGTCACTGGGTGAGGGGGACTTAGACAAAGCTCTTTGAAAGGATCCAATTCCAGCTAGGCAAGGTGGCTCACACCTGTAATCCCAGAACTTTGGAAGGCCGAGGCAAGAGGATCACTTGAGGCCAGGAGTTCAAGATCAGCCTGAGTGACAGAGCAAGACCCCATCTCTACAAAATAATTTTAAAAATTAACCAGGCATGGTGGCACGTACCCGTAGTCCCAGATACTTGGGAGACTGAGGTAGGAGGATCACTTGAGCCTAGAAGTATGAGGCTGCAGTGAGCTATGATTACACCACTGTACTCCAGCCTGGACAACAGAGCAAGACCCCATCTTTTAAAAACAAACAAACAAACAAAAAACCAATTCAGCTGACATGTGCCTTTTTGCCTTCTGTCTAGATTTGATTCTCAAGAAGGATCAGCCATCACATACCACAAGAGACAGGCATTCTTGAAGATGACTAAAAGGAAAAACAAAAGGAACCTAAATCACTGATGTCATGGAGGTGCCATATCAGCCCTAGACTGCTTACCTCCAGTTTGTTACCTGAGAAAAATAAAACTCCTAATTTGTTTGTTTTTTAAATAAATGTTATTGTGTATATTTGAGGTAACATGATGCTATGGGATATATATAAATAGTAAAATGATTACTATAGTGAAGCAAGTTAACATATCCACCGTCTTACACAGTGACCCATTCTTTTTTTTTTAATGGCAAGAGCAGCTAAAATCTACTCATTTAGCAGGAATCCCAGATACCTAATCTGTTTCAGTTATTATTTTGGGGTCTCTACTATTCACAGAAAACACAAGTCCTAACTCCTAGGCCTATTACAGTTTATTCCCCACACAGCAACCAGAGACCTTTCAAAATCATAAGTCAGATCATATTACTGGTTTCCCATCATATCTAAAATAAATTTAGGCTCTCTACTAGGTTAATTAGGCCTTCTCTGACTTGGCCCTTTTGTCTCCCAACTCATCTTCCCTAACCCCGACACCACCCTTCCACTTCCTTGCACATTCAGTTCCAGCCACAATCACCTTCTGGTTCCTTGAACAAGCCAAACTTGTTTCTGTTTCAGGGCCTTTGGAATGTTCTTTCCTCATACCTTTACTTGGTTTGCCCCCTCACTTCCTTTAGGTTTCAGTTCAAGTGTTGCTTCCTCTGAGAGACCTTCCCTAACTGTTCTATCTAAAACTTTTTGTGTCTCCTCAAGTTTCCCTGCCACTCCCTCCCCTCTAACTCTTCTTACCCTGCTTTATTATTGTATATTAAGTATTTATGTGCTTATTTCTTATCAGTCTTCCCCACTAAAAAGCAATCTCTTTGAGGTCAAGGATCTTGAGTGTTTCCTTCAGTACTACATCCCCATTGCCCAGCATATACTAGGGGCACGATTAATATCTGATTAATTAATGAATATACATCATGATCTCACATATACTGAAAAAGTCTAGAGTGTATGTGTGTGTATGTTTATGTAAGCATATATAAGGAGTCTAAGACAAACATTACAGTACCAATACTAGGTACCTCTGGGGAAGAGAGGAAGAAGAAAGATAGAGAGGAACTTTCACATTTTGTTCTGCATATTTCTGCATTATTTTTCTTACGTTAAAAAGACACAATTAACTATAACATACAGCAGGAAGAAAAAAAATCTAAACATATTTAGAAATGCAAACCTATTCACAGAATTGTAAATTTGGAAACACACAGTAACCTCAGCAAGCATATTAACTCAAAGGTCTCTGGCTCAAAAGGACATTGAGAACACACCTCCCTGTTCTTAGTAGTTCCTTAGAGCCCAGCTGAGTATCTGAAAGAAATCACTTCCATTCCATAGCAGTCCCCTTACCTCAACCTGGTTTGTTCCTAAATCTCTCACAGTTAGTAGAATTGAATAGATTATTAAATAAAGTAACACCTTTTAAAAGAACTGGAATTAGGGGAATAAAATTTTTGTTAACATTTCATAGCTCACATAAAAATTTTTACTGTCACTTTAAAGTAATAAAGTATACTAAATAAAAAATGTATTTAGTAGTATGTTATACAACAAATTAATGATAATGAGTTGGGTAGAATTAACTTCCACTTACCATCCCTTGCTCAGTATAAACTTTCAAAGATCATCTTCCTCTAGGGATTCACCCAGATAATTATAAATTCACTTTGCTTTGTTTCAGAAAATACACACTCTAAGAGGCCTGTCTATCTAGCTCTCCATCCAAATGTTTAGTGCCTTTTAATTTTTTTACAATTTCATTGAGACATATTTTATGTATTATGTATTAATCCATCCATTTCAAGTGTATAATTCAATGATTTTTAATAAATTTACAAAGATACAGAACACATCATAAATCAGTTTTAGAAATCTTCATCACTCCAGTAAAGTCTTTCATGCACATTTACTATTAATCCCTATTCCCACCCCTGCTCCAATCAACCACTAATCTACTGTCTGTCTCCCTACATTTGTCTATTCTGGGCATTTTCTATGAATGTAATTATACAGTATATGGTCTCTTATATCTGGCTTCTTTCACTGAGCATCTTTTTGAAGTTTATCCATATGGTAGCGTGTATCAGTGGTTGGCTCCTTCTTATTGCTGAATAGTATGCCATATTAGCGCTTTTTTATTTTATGGCATGGATTTCCATTTTGTACAATGGATGTAGGATAACTTGGATACTTGGTGTGGGGGAGAGGGACCTACTTTTATTTAACCCAAATGACATAGGTGAGTGTTTTTCAAATTCAATCCACTTTAACAAGGTAAGATTGTCCTAGCTTCACAAAACAGCATTTTATTCCATCAGCCTCTTTTAAAACCACTGTCCTGTATCTCCCCTCTAATAGGAACAAAAAGTACAGTTCCTCAAGGTTTCTTTCACTCTCCCAAGGCTTATACAAACTTCTACTCTTACTATGCCTTCTGCTTTACCTCCTTTTCCTATCTCCAACTCCTTGTTTTCTCTAAGATTATCTTCAAACTGATAGCTTTATAATTTCCACATTTTTGAAGTTTTTAAAAAGGTATATTAGAAGTAAATACTGTAACTGCATAATCTGAAACTTTATTTAAGAAGAGCCTGTAGTTCTTTTGATGTGGTCCCTGAAAATAATTTATTCTATTAAAAAAAAAAAGCTTTCTAAGTGGTTTAAAAAGAAACAAAACCTCACAATAACCACAGAAAAGGAGCATGAGGATTCAAGTGAACATTTAACACCCTCACTTAAAAGGGAAGGTCAAAGAATATGTAGTAATTAAGCACAGCTTTCTATCATCTTTTCTCTTTAACATGCCCTTGTTAAATACTGATTTTTCATTCAGTATAAAATGCCACAATAGCGTTACTGTCTCACCTGTTTTATGATGATGCCTGATTCAGATTAAGCTGATTACTTACCTTCATAAAGTATTAAACATACACATGTAGAATGATTAGCTAATCAATTATAGAGCTGGGAGAAGGGTGGTGGTGCAGGGAGAAGGCTGGGAAAGAATGACACAAATCCAGCAGCATATTTCTTATTGCCAGCCTTTTTAAAGTTTTATTTCTGCAGGTGATTCCCACAATTAGTTTGAAAACATGAAAAATAAGATAATATCGACATAGATAAAAGCTTTACCAATGGTAAACATTTTCTAAAGAAATTATTTCACTATCCCCTTACTAGCCTACAAGACAGTTCTTCGGGAGTACTTAACAGAGTGAAAGAAATTAAAGAACAGCTACATGTAATTAGAAGAACCGTGCAAGATAAGGAAAAATAATACAGGCAATTACACCTGTAATCCTAGCAATTTGCGAGGCTGAGGTGGGGGGATTGCTTGAACCCAGGAGTTGGAGGCTGTAGTGTGCTGTGATCGTGCCACTGAGCCCCAGGGAGGGAGGGAAGGAAGGAGGGAGGGAGGAAGGAAGGAAGGAAGGAAAAAGAAAGGGAAGGAAAAGAAAAGAAAAGAAAATGAATGTCATGATAATATGTATACTATACCTTTCTCAGGCTTTCATATTCTTCACGAAGTTCCCCAGGCTTGCTTAATTTGATTGGTGCTCTAAATATAAAGTCTGGAAGAAAGGGGAAAGAAAATACTTTTTAACAGGACTTTTTATGGAAGGTAGCAAGACCTTGTCCTACTGCTGCCCCCACACTGTAAATCACATTAAAAACTGTGGTCATCTTAATTTGAATATTCATTCACTCATTTGACAAATATTTATTAAAGGTTATAAAGCAGGCACTGTTCTAAGCACTGGGGAGAAGCACTGAACAAATAAAGTCCTTGCAGGATCGCTTAAGCCCAAGAGCTTGAGGTTGCAGCAAGCTATGACGACACCACTGCACTCTAGCCCAGAAGACAGATCAAAGCCCTGTCTCAAAAAACAAAATAAAACAAATGAAGTCCTGGCTCTCATGGAGCTTATAATCTTGTGGAGGAAAACAGACAATAAAACAAATAAGTGTGTATATATACTACAACTGGTGGTACTAAGTGCTACAGAAGAAAATAAATGTATGGTAGGAAAAACAAGGTAATTTTATATAGGGTGGTCTAGAAGGATGATACAGTTTGGATGTCTGGTCCCTCCATATCCCACGTTGAAATTTGATCCCCAGTGTTGGAGATGGGACCTGGTAGCAGGTGTTTGGGTCATGGGGGCAGATCCCTCATGAATGGCTTGGTGCCCTCCCCACATACTGAGTTCTCACTTTATTAGTTCACACTATAGCTGGTTTTTTAAAAGAGCCTGGCACCACCTCCTGCCTCTCTTGCTCCTCTCACCATGTGACATGCCCCTGCTTCCCCTTCTGCCTTGACTGGAAGCTCCCTGAAGCCCTCACCAGAAGCAGATGCTGGTGTCATGCTTCTTATACAGTCTGCAGAACCATAAGCCAAATAAACCTGTTTTCTTTATAAATTACCCAGTCTCAGTATTTCCTTTATAGCAATGCAAAATGGACTAACACAAAGGGGCTCACTGATAAAAGGAACATGTTAAAAGACCTCAACGGAAAACTAAATTTAAAGCTTTAGTTTAATCTTACCAAGTAACATTATTTTTTTTAGAGACTTGAGTCTCACTCTGTCACCCAGGCAGGAGTGCAGTGGCATAATCATAGCTCAATGCAACCTCAAGCTTCTGGGCTCAAGTGATCCTCCTTCCTCAGCCTCCCAAATAGCTGGGACTACAGGTGTGCACTACCACGCACAGCTAATTTTTCTATTTTTTATAGATACAGGGTCTTGCTATGTTGCCCAGGCTGATCTTGAACTCCTGGACTCAAGTGATCCTCGTGCCTCAGCCTCCCAAGTAGCACAGGCCCAAGCCACCACACCCAGCCATTGCTAAGTAACATTTTAAATAAGCTGAAGTTTTATTCGTAATGCTGTATTTTACTATTTCTCAATAATGCCAAAGTATAAAGTATATAACATGCATATAATCTTGTATATATTTTCAGTGTATAACCTAATTCTTTTTTAATCCTCAAAGCCTTTAGTGATTTTGATTGGTCTATAGAATAACGTCAAAACTTTTCAACATGTCATTCAAAGTTCTCCAGAGACCAATCACAACTTTATCTTTCTAAGGCATATATCTCTCAACTCTTGACAGTCTAGTCACAACATATATATGCTATATAGTATTTTCAAATCTTTTATGCTATTTTCTCAGCTGAAATTCTGTCTTCTCCCCTTCTCTATATGTATTTTTAAATCCAAGACATCAAGCCATAGGAAACACAATACATGCTGGTTATATAAATAGATGATAAAAATCAAAGTTAAGAACAGGAATAAAATCTTAAGTACTTTAAAAAGGTGGGGGAAAGTACACACTCTACCTCCTTAAATGTACATCACCCTTCTTTACACCTTCTATGTATATTTAGTAATCTAAACAGAGTATTAATTTTAAGACTAATAACTCTATATCCCATTGAGGTTGATAAAATATTTGTTCTAGAAAAGCAGGCTCCCCAAAAAGTTGCCTTTTATCTTTTTTCAGTTGTCTCAACTATTTTAGAAAGACTCTTATTTAGTATATTGAGGAATAAAGAAGATACTTAGAAACATTAGGTCCAATGCAAATACAGAAAATAGTAACTTAAACGTCTACCAAGCACTACAGATTAGTTAGACCCTGAGTTTGGGAGGCAAACATTCCATCACCTTTGCCCACTTAAAAAAAAGTCCTGATGACTATTTTTGTCCCTTAAGCACATTTCCAATTATAGGCAAATAGTATTTAAAATTAGATGCTTTAAAAGAGAAAAGGAAAGAAGGAAGGGAAAATAAAACCCTTAAGGCAAAAAAGTACTTTAAATCCATTTACTGAAAAGCTATTACATAAAGGATATTTCATATATATATTTTTTTATGAATTTTCACAGAAACTTTATAAGGTAGGTATTATACCCATTTTAAAATAAGAAAAGTGAGGGTTTAAATGACTGGGCCCAAGGCCACAGAGATAGCTCACAGCAAAGCAGGGAGAAAAGTTTTAATACGAATAAAGAGGAAAATTACATAATGATTGAAAAGGTCACTCATCCAGAGCTGAGCACAGTCTCTCTCCCCTGCTACAAACTACAAACCCCACTGTAGTAGCCTCCTTGAATAAAGTCTTCCTCACTACCCTTAAAAAAAAAAAAAAAAAAAAGCCAACTCATTAAGAAGATATAACAGGCCGGGCACGGTGGCTCACGCCTGTAATCCTAGCTCTCTGGGAGGCAGAAGCGGGCGGATTGTTTGAGCTCAGGAGTTCGAAACCAGCCTGAGCAAGAGCAAGACCCCGTCTCTACTAAAATTAGAAAGAAATTAATTGGACAACTAAAAATATATAGAAAAAATTAGCCGGGCATGGTGGCGCATGCCTGTAGTCCCAGCTACTTGGGAGGCTGAGGCAGGAGGATCGCTTGAGCCCAGGAGTTTGAAGTTCCTGTGAGCTAGGATGACGCCAGGGCACTCTAGCCCGAGCAACACAGTGAGACTCTGTCTCAAAAAAAAAAAAAAAAAAGATATAACAATCACAAACTTGCATGAACCTGTATTATTACAACAAAAGCTAATAATACTATAAGAAGAAATTAATCCAAAATTACAGTAAGAAATTTTAACACACCACAGTTAAAAAAAGATCAGGCAGACTAAAAGGTGGTAAAAATATAGAAAAACTGAACAATTAACTTGATAATATATTTTATATTTATGTATGTACCCAATGAACAAAATATATATTCCTTAAAGAAACAAGGAACAATTTAAAATACTGATAATATACTAGGTCACAATGAAGTTTCGAAAAATTTCAAAGGATTCTTATTATACACACTTTGCTCTTTGATCCTGGCTGCCATTTTCCAAGCCAGTTTTCTAGCTATCTCGTTGGTGATTCTGGGTTACCCAATATTCTTTGTCAATAAATTCCTTTTCTAATTAAATTTACCAAAATAGATTTCTGCTGATCACAACTAACACTGGCTGATTTAATTTTTCACATGGTACTTTGAAATGACCAATAAACCAGTGTCTAGTAAAACTGATAAAAAAAAAAAAAGAACACAAAATAATACTAAGAATAAAATGGGAGACCTAAATACAGATATCAAGGTGAGTTTAAATCTCCAGAAACTATTAAAACAATGTTGTAATGAATGATCTTGCATATATATCATTGTGAATGTCTACAAGTATATCCATAGGATAAAGTGATGGAATCAGAATCTCTGGGTCAAAGGATACTACCAAACTGCCCTTTCTCCATGAAGCCTGTATCAAGTTATAGTCCTACCAGCAAGGCATCAGCACCATTTCCTCACACCTTTTCCAACAGCATGTTGAAACTTTTCAGTTCTGCCAATCTAATAGATGAAATTTCTAATAGATGAAATTATTTTATGAGTGAAATTACTTGTTATATAAGAGTAATTTGCTTTGATATGAAATATATATGCATTTCCTTTATTCCTCCTTCTATTAACATTTTCTTCTTGATTTGCTGAAGCTCTCTCTATATAAGGAAAATTAGCCTTATGTCACAGGAATAGCAATACTTTTCTCAGCTTATTATTTGTATTGACTTTGCTTCCAGCAGTTATTTTTACGTGGTTACATTAATCAAATTTTCTTATATGGCTTCCACATTTTGTATCACATTTGGAAAGACCTTTCTTAGGCCAAGATATAATAACAAATTCCATCATAGTTTCTTCTAGTACAATGCATAAGATTCCTCTCAGATCTACTTTTAAAAATTCTAAATCTTTATTTTTATTTGGGAAGCAACATAATCTTATTCAGGTTTATAAATAAGAGACTAAAAATATTTTAGTGATAGCCTGGTAGAAATAATTTTCACTTACTATTAGAGAATTTGCATTCTCTAAAATGGTTCTTGCTGATATTTGGTACAAAATGTCTCAAGAGCTTACCATCGTCATCTTTTATTTATTTTTTATTTAATTTTTTTATAGACTTAATCTCACTCTGTTGCCCAGGCTAAGAAGGCAGTGGCAGGATCATAGCTCACTGCATCCTCGAACTCCTGGGCTCAAACAATCCTCTCTCCTCATCCTTTGGAGTTGCTGGGGCTATAGGCACATGCCACCACACCCAGCGAATGTTTTTTTTTTTTATTTTTTATTTTTTTAGAAACGGGGGTCCTGCCGTATTGCCCAGGCTGGTCTCCAACTCCTGGGTTCAAGCAGTCCTCCCACCTTAGCCTCTGGAGTAGCTGGGATTGCAGGCGAGAACCACTGCACCAGACTTTCATCTTTTATATACTGTAAATAACATAAAGTTAAAAGCCTGATCCCCAACTAAGCAGCTTCAGAGCCTTGGATAAGTCAGTCTCAACTTCCTTTTCTGTAAAATCAGAATAATACGTATCCTGACAGGCTATTATGAGGATCAAATGAGTGTAATAAGAATGAAAACACTCCGGCCGGGCGAGGTGGCTCACACCTGTAATCCTAGCACTCTGAGAGGCCGAGGTGGGCAGATTGTTTGAGCTCAGGAATTCAAAACCAGCCTGAGCAAGAGCGAGACCCTGTCTCTACTAAA